TCGAGACTCTGAAATAGCTTATTCTGACTTCTTAAATTCAGTATATATTTGATACACGAGGAAAGTATCCAGCCCATTATATCCATGTATCTGTTGTATCCATGGCTGGATACTTTCCGGACAGCCCTTGTATATCTTACTATTTACATAATTTTTAAAAAATGCGCATATAAATGAACACATAAAATATAGTCGTTAGATTAAAAAAGCCATGCCTATTGACATTGGAAAATACTATTGTACAATCCAATGACATGGCACATGTTAAGACATTTATAATGAGAGTAAAGTGGGAAGAATAACATAAAGATGAATTTAGAGAAAAACGGCTGGAGAAGAGGAATGAAGGATGTGATCACACAGAGTTAGGAGAAACAGTCTCCAAACAGCTGCAATCCAGGAAGTGTCGTTAGATACAAGGAAGTACGAGAATTCCCTCTCCATGTTGTCCCCAAGGCTGACAAAGAGGAACTGTCCTTCTATTCCTAGAGCTCGTTTCAGCCTCCATGAATATTCTGGAAGGATGGAGTTAAAACAGTGTCAAGAACATTCTCAGGCTTTCACTGATAGCAAAAGGAGTAGGAAAGAGGACACAGCATGGCAAGGATTAAGGAAACCAGCAAAAAACATGTTCGATATTGAAACCAGAGGTTATTCCAGTTTTGTCTGTCAGCGAAAGCAAAACTTGTAGAAACAAAAAGCATTATAATAGCTGTAATAACAAGATAATGACATATAATGAGGTTAGTTAAATAAAATAATGATAAAATGACAAAGTATTAATTATACTTGTAAATATGGTAAAAGAATAAATCAGTTTTTGTATTTCATCAGATTTAACACATAATTGGTTTTATATAAATTTCATAATCATTAAGTAAGAAAAATCATTCAGCTAAAACTCAACACGAGACTAAGACGCCGTTGATTGTGAAGTGCTCCCTAGTTCCAGGGATGTTAAAACGTGAAGGAGAAAAGAGGAGTCTTAGGATTGACAAAATTCAGCAGGGCTTTAGAGACAGAATCCTGGCCTTGTAAAGTCTACTTTATGTAAATGATTTTAAAAGGGATGTTGTTACTTTTCTGTATCCTTAAGAAAGGTGTGTCTAAATTCACAAGCCAGCAATCTTATTGGCTGAAACTCCAAAGATATTCCCACTGAAAATAATAATAAAAAAAATCCACCCTTCATTTCTCATAACATCTTGCTAAACATTGTTATGCTTGTTTGATCCTATGAATCAGAGCAGGAAGTCATCCAGCCTCTCTTCAAAGCTCTAGGATGTTAAAAAGATTGTCACTATGATCTGTGGGAGAACTTACTGCAAATCTATCCCTGCGATGAAACCGATGCTACAGTTGCTCTTTGCACTGACACTTGAGTCGCGGACTTGCACCGATGACTGTTGTAATCAATACAAAGAACTGCATACATCATTCTTATTTAAAAGAACAATATTTATGCATAGAGCCCTGTTAGGTATCGAATATAATGGGAAGAATCTAAAATTTAAGGTGATAATCCTGAACCTAGAGTATGATTGTTCCGAAAGCATGGGCTCCGCAGATAATGAGGATAGTGCTCAGAGCGGGTTATCAATGCCACGCCACACGTATTATTCCCTCTCTGCCCAGTGTGATGAGTGACGAGGACAGCATCAGGGACGAGACCTGCTCCACGCTGATAGCATATAATGTGCAGTATCTTGTGGTACAGGACGTTCGCATTCATCTCTGATTGCTAAAGGATGTGTATTGAAGTACAACATCTCTAAATGCGAATTAGAAGTTTGGGGCACAATCATTCAGGAACCATAATATATTATACATTTGCCAAAGCCAAAAATTCAACTTTATGGCTTTTGATTTAGAGTGGGCCCGGCTTGCAGAAGCCCTGGGAAGCTCTGTCCTGGCAAACCAGCTCGTCTTCCCCGAGATGTGCCAGAATACGCCATTGCTGGGACTTGATTTTTCGTTCATTCAAAATTCATCGAGATGGGCCAGGCACAGAGGCTCAAGTCTGTAATCCCAACACTCTGGGAGGCCGTGTTGGGAGGATCATTTAAGTCCAGGAGTTTGACACCAGCCTGAGCAACATAGCAAGATCCCGTCTCTATAAAAAATGTTTTTAAAAAATTATCTGGGTGAGGAGGTGTGCCTGTAGTCCCAGCTACTCAGGAGGCTGAGGCAGGAGGATCGCTTGAGCTCAGGAGTTCGAGTTCGAGGCTGCAGGGAGCTATGATACCCCCACTGCACTCCAGGCTAGGTGACGGAGCAAGACCTTGTTTCCAAAAATCAAAATTCATTGAGCATTTCCAATGTTTAAGAACATGTGTTAAATGCTACAAATATTGTTGTTAAGAGACAAAGACTTTGACCTCAAAGAGCCCACCGTTTTGTAGATAAAATGGACAAGTAACTGCAGTGCAAATAATATATTCGTTTATGTCAAAGGGAATATTGAGGGCACAGTGGAGCAGCGTCTGAGGCAGACACATGTTTTATCTGTGAAGCCAAATATCTGGAAATAGGAAAATATCTGGATGGCTGACTGAACTTACCACTTTTCTTCTATTTTGGCATAATACAGACATAGACCAAATCACTTTTGTCTGTATCTGTAACAGTGATACACTACAATAAAAATCATATTGGTGGGCAATATTAAGAATAACACAAATAAATTACTCTAAGGCAATAGCTGTTTGAATTGCAATTGTCTTTAAGCTACTGAAACACATTCTTACACATGCGTCAGGATCACTTCAATGCCAAAATATTTGAACTGCAATACATAAATGGAGCTGCAGATTTAAAATAATAGTTTTATTTATAATGTATTTCTTATATATTAGGAAGTCATCTGGGCTTATATCAGATGAACATATGGATTTTATTTTCCTTCTGAAAGATAAAACTTAGAAAAGCATTAACGAGTTCTAAGCCACTGCTTTGGCTTCATGTGTTAATGCTTCCTAGCAAAAATACTCCCTGGCTAAAATATCAAATGACGTAACCCAGTGTCTTATAGGAAAAGGCACCGGCTCAACTGCACTAGGAGGAGACAGGACTGGCAGAAACGTGGTCATTTGCTAGCTGTGGGACACAAGCGAGTTAGTGAAGATCTTTGAGTCTCACTTTCTTTGTGCCTTAAATGTACGGGATGAAATAAAGGAATGCAGGTGAGATCACCGTGCCCTGCCCGTGTGTATGGCAGGCACTCAGTGAGCGCCAGGTTCCCTCCACACAGGCACCACGTGGGAATCTACGCTGGCCGAACGTTGCTGGGTGAGCACGCTTCGCTCTGCCTGGAGTCGTGACCAGTGTCATTTTAGGGGTAGTAATTTTGCATCTTATAATTACTGAGTACTAACACATTATGGTTTTAGTAAAGGTATGTGTTAAAGATAATTATAGGCAAATTATTTAAAGAATTAATCACTTTTGTTTTCCATACACTCTTGAAAATAAAAAGAAGTATCTTCTATTATCTTATTTTACATAGAAGTGAAGATCTGTGAGCATTGCTGAAAAGATAGACTGTTACAAAGAGAATGAGAACCCAGCTCTTCCACTGGCCAGTTTCGTGCTCTTGGCTTTGAACTTGTCGATGCCAAATAACACAGATGTGGAGAATCTCATTCACAGATGGGGAAAGCAATAGCCAAGCCTAAAAGAGCAAGCCATTTATCTAGAAAGAAATGCTATTGCACAAATTTCCATTTTTATCAATATAAATTTAAATTTTAAGTTCTTTTCTTCAAATTTAATATGCTGGCATCCCTTTTAAGTTGGATCTTTGCAGACTCTAGCGACAGTTGTAAATAATAGATGGTGTCAGAATATCCTACTGCATTTTCTATCAGGAAAAAAGGGTACAAAATCAATCAAACTACTAATGACTTCTGAGTTATTTGAAAATTCCTCAATATCATTTTATTAATACATAATTTGTTATTCTGGGATATAGAGACAGAAATAAAGATGGGTAAGTATAGATATTTCTCCTTTTCTGTCTCTTAAGACTGTATGCAAATTTGATTACTGTATATCAGATACTATTTTGACAGATTTGGTAGACTAGTTTATTATCTCAATATGACTACGACTTTTACAAATCTGAAACTTATTTTGCTTAGCAAATAAGCTTCACCTATTATTGTTGGGAGAATAAGTATAGATTTTTTTTTCATGTAACAGTACCTTAAAATGAAGTAGCTTCTAATGATGCCATTAATTACATTAAGTTTGTCACAAACTGATTTTATATTTAAAAGTAGTATTTTGTAACACAAAAAATTTAAAAACATCTGCTATGCAAAAGGAGCACTTAGGTAAATAATTTCACACCACATTTGTACGATAGATTCTTGTAGAAAAACAAGTGCTATTTTTTTCTGTAGCAGATACTTAAATGTATCACGCACTGTTATGATGTATAAGCACTTTAGAACACATTTAATTATGATAATCTTATAAGTTAATTACAACTACCATTCAGATTTCTCAGGTGAGGAGGCTGAATTACGGCAAGGTTAAGAAACTTGCCCAAGGTCACACAGCTAACAAGTGTCTGCACCAAGATCCCAGCCCAAGCTGTCTGGCTCTCGAGTCTGAGCTTCTACCCACTATTTGATTTGCTGTCTAACTAAACTAAGTGTTTAAAAATAATGTAAAAACATTGACCAGCCCAATTTAGGCTTCCAACAAAAGTGCAGTTCACAATAAGTTTGTTCTAAAAATGACTTTTTTTGTTTCCGCAGACTAAAAAGCCACAAGCTGTTGTGTGCAATAATTCTTCGTAAGCAACAGCTGCTCTGCTTTCTGCAACTTCCCACAAGCACACCAAAAGCTAAAATCAATTACAATTAAGGAGAAAAATTATTTTGGGTAGCATAACATTTGACTAGTGCTTTGGTCAATAAAGCATTGTCATATAGCTAAAGTATTAACACTTCACTAAAACTCTCTCTGTTTTTCTGTGCTGACTTTTTTAAAAGGTGTAAATTGTGAATTGGAAATTGACGAATGCTGGTCCCAGCCCTGTTTAAATGGTGCAACTTGTCGGGACGCTTTGGGGTCTTATTTCTGTGACTGTGGCCCTGGATTCCTGGGGGATCGCTGTGAGCTCGACGTTGACGAGTGTGCCAGTCAGCCGTGTCTCCACGGAGGGCTGTGTGTGGACGGAGGAAACAGGTATGTTTCTCCTACGTCAGGTGACTGGCGTGGAGACCGACCAAGAGCCGTGGTACCCCCCTGGTGAATTTAGAGATCTCACATCCTCAGTTTAACATTTTCAGTTTACTTTATACTTTCAATGATGAAAAGTAACATTCACATTTTACTAAAAAATCCATCTTCTGTCCCCAAAGGATGGTTTTCCAAGTCATCCCTGGAATCATTTAGAACTGCTTATATTACAGAAAAGTACCAGGTTTTCAATTCCATGAAATAAAACTGCGGTAGCCAAGGAAGGTACAAAAACAAAGCTAAAGATTATTCTATATTGTGAATATAAGGTTGTTATCTATATGATGACAAGAATATAAATCAAGTGCTAAAAATAAATCCTTTAGAAGTTTTGTATAAAGTATTGGAAAGGGCAGTGATAATAAATTATGTATGTCTTGAATTTCCAGGTGTTTGTGGAATTAATTGGGCGAAAACTTTTGAGAAAGCATAACGGTGAGAAGTAGCCATGTGATTCTGCTCCAAATCCTAGTCTATCGTTGGCTTTCAGGCAAAAATAACAACGATAAATTACACCTTAGTATGATGACTATAATAAATTTATGTAACAACAATTGAGTTCACATAAAATATTTTATAAAGAACTTTCTAGGATAACTACTGAGTTACCAAATGCATAACAATTTTTAACAGCACTGGCACTTAAAATTGTCTTGTTTGATCCTTCAGCAGCTCAGTGGAAGGCAAGATGAGCATTAATGTTTCCACATTACAACGAAAAGTCTAAAGTTCAGAAAAGTTAGAAAACTCCCACCAGTTCACACAGTTAATCATTTGCAAAAGGAGGACTAGAATCCGGTTTCCCTTTATGTAGTAAGAAAGACATAATTTATCCCAAATCTAATTTTGAAGTGAATCAGAGTCAAAAGGAGAGCAATAAAAGGCATGTGTGTTGCAAATACCTCCAACAAAATATTTAATAATAGAATTTTAAATAGAGCAATGGGGTGGTACATTTCTTTTATAGAATGCAAAACATAACTGTTAGTCATATTCCACGTCCTGTCTCTGACTTTTTGCTGTACCCAAAGAAGGCTCCAGTAGCACAAATCTGCAGCCCTGGGGACAAGTAACTGGCAACACAAAGGTAGAGCAGGGTGAAGGTTCCACACAAGATCTCCAGTGGAAAAGGAGGCAGCTCCCCTCCACGCTTTACTGTCCCCAGAAAGCATCAGGACAGAAATGACGCAAAGCTTTGGATTCTGATGGAAATGCAAACAAAACAAGGCTGGAACTTAGCCAACTTTTATTCTCCTCACTTGAGTATGTTATGAAAAATTTCTCTATTTTACCATTATCTCTGTTATCACCTACATTTTGAAAAGATAATCATGAAATCAACCAATATGATCTGAGTTTATGTTCTCACAAAAAATTAACATATTTGCTAGGAGGTATATAAGAGAACCAGAAAGAAGTTCTTGCAGACAAAAGAAATTATAAAAATGGAGTTTCTAATTCCATAAACTGAGGTTCCCTAGCAAGCCAAGGCCCTTGAGTACAGGGTTCTTGTCTCTAAAGTCATACATATGGTAGATTTTTAGTAAGTATTTATAATTAAACAGATATAATAGTGAATGGAAGATTTCTAACTAGCAGTACACATAAAAATTGCAACCAGTTGCAACATTTGCTATTTCAGTTTCCTTAATAAAGTCCTAATATCTGTGTTTGGCAGTAAATATACACACAGCCGTGGTGAATAGGACTCTAAGTGCTTTATAAATTTGTAGGTATCCACTTCCCAAAACTCTCATTTAATGTAAGCTGAGTGTACAGGTCCATTCATTACAATACTAAATCCTTGATGAGATCCCACCTAAGTTAAAACTCCCTCTTAATAAAGTTAACAACTTTCTCATCATGTTTGTATTTTGGAACTGTCAGATAATTCCACTTGATCGATGAAAGATTAGAAATAGCAAGACGACAATATTCTTGTAATCTAAAAATAAGAGAACATCATAAGTCACTATTTAACTAGGGGTTTTCCATAATTTATTGTTTCATGTTTCTTGAGGGACCTTATCAGTGGGCTCTCTATGTGAAAGTGCCGCCATGGCATGAATCCTTCTCTATTGCCTTAAATATGTTAACAGTGCTATTCAGTAGCAATTTATTTAGTGCCTTCAGGTATTTGAGATACTGTGTCTGTTCTTTATATGCATATTTAATTATCAAAATAACCTTGTGGTGTAGGTAGTATGGTCTTCAATTCATAGGCAAAGAACCTGAAGTACGTAATCCTGGTTTCCAGATAAATTTGCATGAAGCTCTGTACTGTAAAATTTTTAAGAGATAATGATAAGACCTCAATAGGGAAACACATAATGTGTTCGGTCCCATAGAGATCATTCCTCAGAGTTTTTGAGGTGTTAAGATTGTACCAGGGGTCTCAGGTTGATGGACAGAGAAGAGACGGTATGAAGGTACCTGATCTCGATGTGACCAGGAGCTGACGTGCACATTTCATTTCCTCTCCAGGTACAGCTGTCACTGCGCGGGCAGTGGATACACAGGGACACACTGCGAGACCTCGATGCCTCTCTGTTGGTCAGAACCCTGCCACAACAATGCCACGTGTGAGGACGGTGTTGGCAATTACACTTGTCACTGCTGGCCTGGTAAGTGACAAAGTATCTTCCAGCAATTTTTTTTTTTTTTTTGCTTAGAATAGAAATGTACTGCTTATAGCAAATAAAACTAAAACTCCTTGTTAAATGTTTGAAACCACTTCCTTCTTCTAGTTATCATTGTTTAATTTCGTGGATTCTCAGTGCCCACACACACTTACCTCTATGCTACGTGTCATCCAGAGTAGGTTACCTACCTAGCGCCTAATGATCAAAACCCTCTAGAGGAAACAGAGAGGAAAAAAAATCAACTGAAAGATGAAATTCAGCACGGTCTTCATGAAGGAAAATTCACTGGAAGATACTTTCTTGTCCTCTAAGATGTTCTCCTTAGACACCAGGAATATATAGAAACGCACGAAATGGTGCTCAACTGCTAGCAATTTCTCTTATAATTCAGAGTCAGTCCCCTCTGTGCTTTGCTGTCTCCAGAAAGCATCAGGACGACTGGAATGAGAGAATGCCTGAGCCCGAAAGGCAAAACAGGATTTATGATGGTTCTAAGTCACTTCCTAACCCGGCTTATGTCTGAGTCTTGAGTCTTAGAATGGGAAGAAAATTGAAAAGAGTCCCAGCTTTCTTCAATAAGTCTGCTGTCTCACAACAAATAACAATTTATAAAATCTTGTTGTAAAAATTATTATTTAATGTATTCTTATAAACTTAAGTATGAAATAATAGTATTTAAAAAGTAGACATTCAAGTTTAGGAGGCTGTAAGGGTTCTTTGCAGGGGGTCACTGCAAAGGATTGTGTGATCTCAATCCAGCATGTTCTTTTAGTTTCTTTTTTTTTCTTTTTTTTTTTTTTGAGTATAAGTTTCTTCTTCAGGTGGTTGAGAAAGGCCCCAAGGGTCATATGTAACAAATACATTTTACTGTTGAGCAACAGAACTTATGCTGTGGTTACGATTTGACACATGAACTCATTCGGGTTTTATTAAAATTACAAAGTGAGCAATCACAGTATACTTTCATTATTTGCTCATTAATAGTCAATTTTCTGGTTTATGGGCTAAACTAGGATTATAATCTGAATCGTTACATTCAACCACTGGTTGATACCACTGATTGAAGGTCAACTGCTTACGTACTGCTCAGCACTGGAGTGGGGAGTAAAACAAACGCAGTCTCTGTTTTCGTGAAGCTCACCGTCTGTGGAGGGAGGGACCTACACACACAAATAAATACATCATTAAAAGTTATCGTAAGAGCAAGGAAAGAAAATAATCGGACGGCAGGAGAGAAAACCAGGGGATCTCATTTAGAGCTGTCACAAGGCAACGTCAGTCTGAGAAAGTGATACAAGACAGAGTCCAAAACTGAGTACGTTAGCGAAGCAAATGCTTGGAGAAGAGTTTTCTAGAGGAGAGAATAGCATTATGAGGGCAATGAGGAGTAAGAGAGAGAATGGGGTGAGGTAGGAATATTGAGATGGAAAGGGAGCCAGATAATGCAGGGAGTTTTTAGGCCACATTAAGGTTTTGAGTTTTATCCTATGTGAAATGGGGAAGCCACTGAATGATTTCATTTATTTATTTGTTATTTTTGAGACAGGGTCTCACTCTGTCCCCAGGCTGCTGTGCAGCGGCATCATCGTAGCTCACTGCAACCTCAAACTCCTGGGCTTAAGCAATCCTCTTGCCTCAGCCTCCCAAGTAGCTGGGACTACAGGCACATGCCACCATGCCTGGCTAATTTTTAAAAAAAATTTTTTTTTTTTTTTTGGAAAAACAAGGTCTCATTATGTTGCCCAGGCTGGTCTCGAACTCCTGGCCTCAAGCGTTCCTCCTGCCTTGGCCTCCCAAAGTGCTGTGTTCCTTTCAAAAGGAACATACATCTCTCTTACCAGCTCACCAAATAGCTGACGTTATCCTATTATCCGTCAGCATTTTATCACGTCCTACTAAATTTGCTTCTTGGAGCTCGCACCATATACCATATACAAATACTCTTATAAATCAATAAGAAAAAGTCTAATGGTAAAACAGGAAAGAAATATGAAATGGTCAAAAAAATCCCCAAAATATTAAGCTCAATAGTAACTTGGGAAAATGTAAACCGAAACCAAAATGTAAACCACCTGGTGAGAAATTTTATATTTGATGACAGCAAATACTGGCAGGGCCTGGAGCCACACGGACACTCATGCACCGTTGGTGCGATGCGAATGGTACAGCTCCTTTGAGGTGTTTGCCAGTCTATTAAAATAAAAAATGCACATAACCTATAACCCAGAAGTTCCACTTTTGGGCACAAACCCTAGGGTCATGATCAAACACTTACCTACGCAGTCATATATAATGATATTCATTGCAACATTGTAATACCAAAAATGTACATAAATCCAAATAAGAGAATGGCTAAACTATGGAACACCTACGTTCTGGAATACTTGGCAGTGGCTGAACATTACGAGTTAGATCTCTGTTACTAACATGGACAGGTCGTGCAAGGGAGTGAGTAGAGCAGGTTGTAGAAGGATAAATATAGTACAATTATGTTATGTGAACACACACACACAAGAAAACTATAATTTTTTTACCGTTACACCTGTTTATAAAAACAAAAAAAAAAGCAATTTGAGTAGGCAACTTTCCTTTATATTTAATATTTTAATTTTTTATAAAGTGATAAGTCATTCATATTTTACTGTTTTTTTTCCTGGCCTTAATGATCCAGCTAAGTCCATGCAAATATGAGATAATCTATTATTCTGTTTCATTGAGTGTTAGGGAATAACCATTTACCTTTATACTGAGTTTTGAAAGAAGAATTTAGGATTGGCTACGAGGACACTTGCTGATTTTTCAGCTATTCTCTTGAAAAGTATTTCATTTTTTTCTTGATTAAAATTCACAGATGTGGAATATTTGCAAAATGGGGGGTCTTTCCTTAGATTCAATGCAGGTTATCCTGACATCCCATTTTGATTCAAGCCTCACTAAGCAAATCCTTCTAAAAAGTTTTTGGTCAAAATGATACAAGCGATTGCATGGCCACTGCTATTCATTTCCACGTAAGCCTCCTCCTACCAGACTGCCCTCGCTCGTTCCCTGAGAGCTGGCACCAGGATGCCAGCGCAGCGCCCAGGCTTCTGGCAGGCACAGGCTCTTCGCTTGCAACAGGTTGGACTCGGCAGCTTCTCTGAACGCCCCTGCAGGGTACGCCGGAGCCCAGTGCGAGACCAGCATCCGGGGATGCGCCAGCAACCCCTGCCAGTCTGGCGGAGCGTGCGTGGAGCTGTCCTCGGAGAAGCCGCGCGGGCGCGTTGCTGGGCTGCCTGCCTCATCCAGCCACCCTGAAGCCTCGGGCTACGTTTGCACCTGCCGGCCTGGATTCACAGGTAAGGCCAAGACCATGGGAGACGACCGGCTTTCTGGCATGTTTTGGCAGACTGTGAGTGTAACCGAACGGTGCGTGAGCAGCGAGCCCTGTGCTGCGTGAACTGTTGCTATGGTGCAAAGGGTCCCCCTTGTGGGCATGAAAAATACCTCGTTTCACAGATAATTCCTCAAAGCGCGAGGGTGGCGTCAAAAATAGGGGTAAAACAGGGATGAGAGGGGAAATATTTTTATACGTTATTCTGGGGATTAGAGTGCCTCTCAAACCTCACGAACAGAAAATGTCATTTTTGTGTTAGACTTGATCATGATGTTACATTTTATAATAATCAAATTTTCTTAAAAAAGTTATTCTAATTATTTATGTTTACACTGGGAACAATCAACTAGTTCTAAGTAATCTTCCTCAATGGTTCTATAACTAAAGCTGTTTCATATATCAAAGTTAAATTACTCTATCTTTTTTTTTTTTTACAACATTCTTTCTTCTAAAACCCAAAGGAAATTTGCACGTATATTTTCTGATGAACAGTTATGTTTGCGTCTGCTTCATGTTCTAAAAACTCTCAGAATTTTTGAGACAGTCCCCCGTTTGTTAATGACAAATGATTAATGTCATTAATCATTTGTTAATGACAAATCTTTCCATGTGATTATTTGACATCTGTTTTTTTTTTCAGCAAAATGTTTCTCCATGTGTTTTGAAATATTTTTTATTTTTAATTATTATGGATACACAATTGTACATATTAACAGGGTATGTGAGATATTTTATACCGGCATACAGTGTGTAATGATGAAATCGGGGTGATTGGATTGTCCAGCACTTCAAGCATTTATCATTTCTCTGTGTTAGGGCCATTCCAATTCCATTCTTAGATATTTTAAAATAATCTCTATTAACTATAGTTACCCTATTGTCTGAATACTACCAGCCGCTAGATCTTATTCATCCTGCGTAACTGTAATTTTGCACCTACTAACTGTTTTATCCTCCCTTCCTACTACTCTTCCAGGCTCTGGTAAGCATGATCCTGGTCTCTGTCTCCAGGAGAGAACATGCAGTATTTACCTTTTTGTGCCTGGCTTATTTCTCACAACATAATGTCCTCCCGTCCCATGCATGTTGCTGTGAATGATAAGATTTCATTCTTCTTCAGGGCTGAGTAATATTCCATTGTGTATATGTACTGCGTTTCCTTTATCCGTTAATCCACTGACGGACACTTAGGTTGATTCTATATCCTGACTATCGTGAATAGTGCTCAGTAAGCAGGGAGCTCAGACACCTCTACAATGTATTGACATCCTTTCCTTCGGACGTATACCCTGCAGTGGAATTGCTGGACCGTGCGGTAGCTCTATGCTTAGCTTTGTGGGGAGCTTCTGTCCCGCTCTCCGTGGTGGCTGTGCTAATTACGTGCTGCCCTGCAGATAACGCACCATTTCTCTCGCTGCTTTCAGTGTTTTTTCCTTTGTAGTTTTCAGAAGCTTCTTTATAATGTGCCTTGGTGTCAGCTTACTTGGGTTTATCCTATGTGAGATTTACTCAGCTTTTCATACCTGTGGATTAATGTCTTCTACCAAATTTGGGGAATTTTGAACCAGTTTTTCTTTGAATAGTCTTTCCGTTTCATTCTCTCTTTTCACTTCTGGGACTCTGGTCATACAAACTTTGGGTCTTTTGCTGTTTTTCCATGGGCCCCTGAGGCTTTTTTTTTTTTTTTTATTTTGATTTTTCCTATTTTCTCTGTCACTCAAATTGGGCAAATTTTATCAATCTGTCCTCACGTTCACTAATTCTATTCTTTTGCATCTCCTCTGTATTATCAAACCATACAGGGAGTTTATTTTTTCTATTGTATTTTTCAATTCTATAATTTCTATTTTGTTCTTTTAAATAACAATCTTTTTGCCAACATTTTCTGATTTTCTTTAATCTCAAGAGAATTTTTAATTGCTTATTGAATCATTTTTATGATGGTTACCTTAAAAATCTTGTCCAATAATTCCAACATCTGATGCATCCAGGTGTGGGCCTCAGGTACTTTGTTTTCCCATTCGAGTTGTGGTTTTCCTGATTCTTTTGCTGACAGGTGATGGCATGCTGAAAGTTTTGGATGTTATGTTAGGAGACTTCATGCATTCTTTGAATTTTTGAATTTATCAATCGCCTTCTTAGGTTTGGAAAACAGGTCCTGGCCTACTTCATGTGGATTGTGGGTCCAACGCTGAGTCAGTTTTCAGAGTCTTTGCGGTGTTATTTTGGCACTCTTGGTCTATCTGGCGCCGCTGGGGCTCCCAGGGTCTCTGCTGGTGGTTTCTGTGCGGGTGGAGGGTGTTTTCCAGCCCAGGGAGGGAGGAGAGTCTCAGACCCCCAGGACGAGGAGGCTTCTTTCCCAGGCGTGCTGCGTGGCCTCTCCCTGCCGCTGGGGGGTGGAGAGCGTTTCCCGGGCGGAGGCGGAGACCCCTTTGCCGACGCTCCAGGCACAGGGCGTCCCCTGCGGGAGGCGGGAGTCTGCTAGGGAAGGACACGCCACACAGCGGGCCGTCGTTTTAACCCGGTTCCTGCGCCGTGGCCGCCGTGGCCGCGTCTGCAGCAGCGGAGGAGGAGAAGCGCTGTCTCCGGCTGCTCTTTGTCTGCAGGGCTGTCGAGGGCCCCTCGCCACTTCTTCCGGACTCGGCCGACGTCGGGGGCGGCTCCCTGTCCATCTGGGGACAGAAGGGGCCAACCCGGGCTGCCGCCTGCCGCGTCTGTTCCTGGCGGGGGCTCGGAAAACACCGGGGTGGGGACCTTCTGTGGATGCGCTGGAAGCTGTGATGTGCTCAATGCGCGTTGTCACCCCTTCGGTCTAGGCCTTGCCCGGGTCACCTTCTTCTTCCGGCTGTCACAGTTGGTTCTCTCTGGTTGTCGTGCACACTTTGCTCGGTGCGGAGGGACAGGGAGGGAGGAGTCCTCACCGTCTTGGGCTCACGCCAAGTCCCTAGGTCACATTTTTGAAAACCACTTACATGGCATAGTAGCACAAAGAAAATCATTATCTCTAGTGCTCGAGGCAGAAAAGCTGATACTTTCTCTCCATTTCCCCTGTATACCCAAGAAGCCGAAAATATCATTTATCTTAATCAATGAGATGAATATATTTATTAATAACTCATTACTTCCCTTGCTTCCCCTCCACCTTGAATAGTTGGACCTTCACTTTTATTTTAGTTTTGTTTGGTGTATATCCATTCTTCATTTTTTCAGATAGAAAAGATAAGAGTTTACTTTTTACATGCTACATCTATTTGTGGTTTTATCGCTTGTTAGATTAAAATAAAATTCCCATTATGATGAAAAATATATTGTGTGTCATACCTTTAATGACAGAGCTCTATTCAAAGACACCATTAGAGTTGTCAAATATAGGGACTAACTATTCTCTGTTTTATTATCATAATTAAGGATGCATTTATTATCTTCACTACCAGCAAAATTGCCTTCCATATTGAAAATATTTGCATATGTAATGTAATTTTTCTAACTTTTTATAGCACTTTTACATTATAAAAAGTAGAAAATTAACTGAGAATCTCAGAAGATAATACTTAGGGAGATGGAACTAGAAAGAGCTGAGCCCACAGAAAGTGAGAAATGGTGAAAAAACAAAAACAGGGGCACAAGGAGGCAGAGAATCCTGGTGCGAGGAACCAAGCCCCCTGAAGCAGGATGAGCTTTTATCCTAGGTTTCCTCTGGGATTTCCAGCAAGTAAAGCAAGTTACCATAGCCCAGAGAAACCGAAATCTCATTCAGTGAGATAATTGAGAAAAATCTAAAGATTCATTTGGCTATTTTAATGGTTAGAATTGAGTCATGCCTCCAGATGCAATAATGGTTACTATTTTCTAATTCTCCAAAACCATTAAAATGTTATTGAAATGTTTTTTGGCAAAATACCCTCACATTTTGTCATAGCTATTCGTGCCCATAGTCGCAACCTTCAAGGCACAACGAGAACAGAGCACTTGATTGATTTAAATTTAAGGTCTGTCTCTTTACTTAAACCATACACCCACATCATTTCCCTGGGAAGCTAAATACATCTAAATCGGAGAAGGCCTGTAGTTGAATAACACTGTTCAGTTCATTCCAAAATCAGTAAATTATCTTTATTTCATGTGACCACCCTTGACCGCTACCAGAAGGAATGTTGGCTGCTTCCTTCTGTTGTGTTTTGGTTTCCAGTCCAGAGCACTGGGCTCGGTTCTAGGGATGTAGCGATGAAGATACACAGTGTCTTCCCAAGGGAAACTGAAAGAGAGTGAGGAAACAGATGCACAAAATATAAGACAGTATGATCACTGGCATGTAGTGGAGACATAAAGAGACACAATCATACACATGAGTCAAGAGATGTTTATGCTATTTGCGCAGATAAAGTTTAGTGGAAATTGTAAGAAGCAAAACAATTTGATAAGTTAGCGTTTTTTTAATACAAAGGAACATGTTACTACTGAAAAATTTAAAAAAGGTCTCATGATCTTTGTGCTTACCCTTCAACCATCCTGTTCTGACCCACCAGGCTGAATTGAAAACAATCAACTTGTGTTTTTAATGTTAGCATTTCATTTCTGTTTATCAAAATATGGTCGTGGTAATGCCTTTAACAAGTTTCCAAACTGTCTCATCAGCCAAGTCCAATTTTCAGTTCCAACTTTCACCCACTAACTCCAATTAGCGTCTACTCCAACCCTCTTCTCTACATTGTTGCCTCTGAGTTTGGGATTTTATTCTGCTTCACCCATGTGCTCTCTGTGTGGGGAGAACTGACAGGAGGGCAGCAGGGATCCCGTGAAGTCCTGGCGTCAAACTTCGGGTAGAAATAGTGGTTTCTCAACAATAAACACCCCATGAGAGCCACCTGGCAGGGGCTGCCCCCGAGGCTCCTGTTCTCAGGTTTGTCTGCTTCAAGCACAATATTGCTGAAAATGAAGTGTTCACTTTTCCTTAAAAATGAA